GCTCAAGCCCAAGAGTTTGAGGTTGCTGTGAGCTATGAAGCCACAGCACTCTACCAAGGGTGACAAAGTGAGATTCTGGCTCCAAAAATATATAGATAGATAGATAGACGTACAAAAACTAGCCAGGCATAGTGGCATATGCCTATAGTCCCAACTACTCAAGAGGCTGAAGCAGAAAGATCACCTGAACCCAGAGATTGAGTCCACGGTGAATTACAATGAGGCCACAGCACTCCAGCCTAGGCAACAAAGACTCTATCTCAAAAATAAAATAAACAGAAAGAGGCCAAGAATGGTGGCTCATGCTGGAAATCCCAACACTCCGGGAGGCTAGAAGTAGGAAGGTTGCTTGAGCTCAGGAGCTGGAGACCAGCCTGAGCAAGAATGAGACCCCATCGCTACTAAAAATAGAAGAAAATTAAGCCAGGTGTTGTGGCAGGTGCCAATAGTTCCAGCTACTTGGAAGGCTGAGGCAGGAGGATCACTTGAGCCCAGAAGTTTGAGGCTGCTGTGAGCTATGATGATACCACTGCACTCTAGCCGGGGCAATAGAGCTAGACCCTATCTCAAAAAAATAAATAAGGGGCAGTGCCTGTGGCTCAAAGGAGTAGGGCACCGGCCCCATATGCTGGAGGTGGTGGGTTCAAACCCAGCCCCAGCCAAAAACTGCAAAAAATAAATAAATAATAAAGAAATTACACAGATGGTCATCACCAGCACCTGTGTTTGCCCAACCACTGCAACAGCCACCCTGAAACAATTAAGTCTAATAAGGGACTGCTGGCCAGACAGGGAGAGTCCCCCACCTGCAATGGGCAGCAGCATGGAACCCAGGAAAAGTGGCACGAGGAAATGGCAACCTCAGGGAAGTCTTGGACCCACACCCCATGGAGGGAAGTATTGGCAGCAGGAAGAGTGCCCAGCTGCTTACCCTGAAGCAGCTTCCACCATCCCTGTCAGCATGGCCTCCAGGGCCCGGTCCGGCACTTGTTCCACCAGGCGCCAGCAAACCCGCTGCCAGAGACAGCTGCTGTTGGTGAGTGTGGTCAGCTGGGGCACCAGCACATCCAGAGTCTCCTCTGTAGGGACATACAGAGGCCCTCAGCCTTAGGAGCTACACCTGCCCCAGGTGGCCATAGGGCATCCAGAGAATCCTACTGGCTCTCCAGTAGACACAGCCAAGCCCAGACCTGAGGAGCCCAGACAGCTGATACCAGTTGACTTGAGCAAGGGGACACATGGAGAATCAAGGTCATGTGGGATACCTGACCTTCTACACAACCACTGATGTGATGGCCAGGGTAGGGAGAGGGTGGAACAGTACTGTTCTACTCACGCTGCCTCCCGTGCATACAGACTTTCCCTAGGACTTGAGACAGGAAGGAGATGGAGCAGTCTAAGCCACCTGGGAGAGAAAAGAGAACCCAATTTTACAGGTTGGTGGAATCAGCATAAAAGAACAAGTGGCAGAGCAGAGATAGGCCTTGTGCTTGGGCAGGCCCTAAGTTGTAAAAACATGATTCACTCACAATTACATGTAAGCACAATTCAATCTGATTTCAACTACTGTCTATACAGGATTGTTTTTAACTTACAGAGCCATCAATAACTGTTTAGAAAACACTGCACACGCTGGATCACTTAACCATCACAATCCTTCTAAAGTGGGGATGAGTTTGACATCACCAGAGGAAAAGGAGGACCTAGGGGACATGGCCACGGTTGGTCAGCCATGCAGGGTAGACCTGGGCTCTGAGCCAGGCATTGGGACTTAGGAACACAGGGAGCCAACCACGGGGAAGGGATAGACACCCACTGGAGAAGTGAGCCTTGAGGAAACATTGCAAACAAGCAGAGGGTCGGGGGCACCAGCCCTATAAGAGGAACTGGGATGTTGCTTTTATTGTACTTTATTTTTGAGACAAAACCTCACTCTGTTGCCCAGTCTAGAGTACCATAGCATCAGCCTAGTCCATGACAACTTCAAACTCCTGGGCTCAAATGATTCTCTAGTATCTGCCAAAGGTGATCAGTGAGGTTTGATTTTTTTGGTTTTTGGGGGGTTTTTTTGAGACTGAGTTCACTGTCACCCTAGGTATAATGCATCACCCTAGCTCACAACTTCAAACCTCTGGGCTCAAGAGATCTTCCTGCCTCAGCTCCTGAGTAGCTGGAACTACAGGCACCAACCACAATGCCTGCTAGTTTTTCTATTTTTAGTAGAGATGGGGTCTCTCTCTTACTTAGGTTGATCAAACTCCTCAGTTCAAGCAATCCACCCACCTCAGTCTCCCAAAGTGCTAGGATTACAGGTGTGAACCACTGTGCCCAGTCAAGGAGTTGGGATGTTCAGGCCATGGACAGCCATGAAGGTCCACACACAGGGGGTCAGCTTGGGTGACTAGGGAGGAGCAGAGTGTCATTTAGGCAACAATGGACCCAATGCAAACACTAAGAGAGTGAAGGAGATACATTACATGTACATTCTAGATCAGTGTTTCTCAACCTTCCTAATGCTGCAATGTATTTTCATTGTTAAAAAGGGGTTGTGGCTCGGCGCCTGTAGCTCA